GGAGAGGAGAGAGACAGCGGGACAGAGAAAGAGAGAGAGAGACGACGGACAGGTAGAGAGAGACAGACAGACAGATAGAAACAGAGAGAGAGAGAAAGAGAGAGGGAGAGAGAGAGGGGAGAGAGAGAGAGAGAGAGAGAGAGAGAGAGAGAGATGAGGGCGAATAGAGAGACATGGAGAGAGAGAAGCAGAGACGGGGGGAAGGGGGAGGGAGGGTGATGTGGAGCTTGGAGGGGAGTTTTTTTCTCTTGGAGGCGAGGCAAAGAGATCGCTGTGATAGATGAAGTCTGAAACCCAGCGCCACTCAGATGTCGCCAGAGACGGTGACGGGGCCCTTCCTACACTGATGAGATCATTTCTAAACTCCGGGAAAAGATTTGAACTGATTGTTTTGCTGGAAGGGTGGGGTGGGGCAAGGGGTGGGAAGGGGGCAGGGCAGGGGTGGCAACGGGCAGGGGAGAAATAATAAAGCTCTTCTGAAAATCAAGACGAAAAAAGGGGGGGAGGGTTATTATGCAAAATGATGAAATACTGATTTTTGTGTACTGGCGTTTGGAAGGATGAAATTATGTTTGCAATGTTGGGTTGTTTTTTTTTCTTTGTTGTTTTTGTTTTTCTGTTGTTGTTTTTTTCTTTTTGTGGTTCTTGCTGCTGCCTGCTGCCCCTTCTGCTATTAACACTGCTGCTACTGGAGCGGATCAGTTTCAGTTTGGGGGTGGGGACGATTGTGGATATTGATGTAAATGTCGTGCAATATTTAATGCGATATACAGTCTCTACTTTCGTTTCTACCTTTCTTCCTAAACCACTGATACAACAAGTCTTTGAATTTCTGTTTATGACGTTGTATCCCTCTCAAATCCTGTCAAACACTAACTTACACCAAAACTAAACACTTTCTTATGTAAATATTTTTCAGGACTTCTGTGAGAACGAATGGCGACGGTCAAGTTTGGAGGTGGAGTGTATGCAAGGAGATGGCATGGACTTCATCGCACCCAAGGACAGCAGTTGCAACCCTTTCCTCAAGCATGGAGACTGTACGTGAGATCTGGCTAAATTTTTTAATTCATGTTTGACAAGGCTGAGCATTGGCGAGTAAACAGGGTTGTTGTTTTTTTTTGGTTTATTTACCAACATGGAGGCCCCGCTCGTATGTCCTTTGTCCTTGTCATCTCAAACTTTTCTGTCAGTCTGCCTGAAAACTACTCATTTTCTTTCTTTCTGTTGTTTCAGTCTATATGACTCGCTTTTTACTTCATTAAATGATAGTCATCGCATTGATGTGTTACTCTCTTTACTCAGGATAATAGCACTTAAGATAAGAACGAAATGGCCGTACCGGTGTTGACGTTTTCCCAATCTATCACTAACATGCCTTCTTTGACGAAAAGGCATCTCCATAATATATTATCATGAGTTCATATACGTGAAGCACACTGAATCTTAGCTAAACAGATAGAGTTGGCAATAGTTTAGTCTAACCATAAGTTATTTTTTGGGGTTTTTGTTGGGGTTTTTTGTGTGTGGGGGGGGGGGGGTGCTAGCTAAATGTCAGAGACACGTCATATATCAAAAAATATATCGAGTATCTTTAGATCCCCTGAGGGTTTTTAGAAAGAATTTTTACAATAGGTTAGGATAAAGAATTCTAACGATTATAAACCTCTCAAGTGCTTTTGATATAACTGAGCTAGGGCTTTTTCCCCTCCTTCTCAATCCCGCTACATATTTTTGTGTGCTTCACATCATGAGTTGATGCTCAGTGGTTTGTCATTCAGAATCTTTTTTACGTTGTCCTGAAAGTTAACAAGAAACATTTCTAATGTCAAATAAGTCGCAAACCAATAGCAGAGATGCCCCCACAGATCTTGAAAAATCTGTTGGATTTTTACAAAAATTCAGCCTCAGATTAGCAAATTGACCTTTGCAAAGACATGCTTTGCAATTGGGACACCTTAAGGACTAAATCAGTGAAAAGGTATTGCATTTACGTGCACTTTTCTCTTTGGCTTTTTAAAACAGTTTCTATCATCAGTGCACTATATACCCATGGCCAGTGGGCGGTTAGAGAACGCCACTACTGTTGGTCCAATTTCTTTTTGTTCCTCTGCTGTTTCTGTCTGTCTGTTTGTCCGTGGTACTTTTGTCAGTACTCTGTTGACATGTCTATGAGATTCAATGCATTCGTCCAACTCAGTACTCACAGCTATCCATCACCAATGGGACTGCTCATGATAAGCGTTTTATAGAGAACAGAGCTGTGACGATAATTGAAATTCAAACTCATCATAGAGCATCCCACGAAAATCCAAGCCTAGAAAAATATAATCCTGTGTTTGATTCGCCACTGCATATTTAAACGTATAGTATGATATGACATTCTTGTGACTTTGAATACCTTACAGCCATATCATGCCCTCATTTTTATTATTTGTTTTTTTAAAGAGGTCTTCCAATAAAAACTGTTCTTATTTTGGAAACAATCTGGATATTCCACGACAGCTTCTGGTATAAATATGACCGTCATTACTGTGTAGACTACAATACGTCAAACCGACGTCTGTGGTGTAAAGGTGGGACACTTCGCTGGCACGCGCAAAAAACTATACAATCTTTCTGTTGGGACATTGTACCCCTTTCAGCCCGGTTTAGCCCTGACAGGAAAGGTCAAAACGTGCCACCTGAACGATTAAATTTGTGCTGATGAGGGCGTAAAGCACCTACATCCACCAAAATATATATATATA